CGCCGTCCCCGCTCGGCTCCCGGGAGCCGCGATGGGAGCCGCCGAGGGCCGAAAGAGCAGAAAGCGCGCCGCGGGCGGGAGGAGATGCGCCGCGGCCCGAGGCCGCGTGCGGCGCGGGCCCGCCGTCACCGGAACACTCGTACCTGACGCACCTTGGCGCCTCCGCCCTCCCGCGCTGCCACCTTCCCAGCTGTGCCCGGGCCGTCCTTCTCTGTCCCCACACCCTCACCGTCCCGCTCTCTGGGGGACCGCAGAGGGGCCTTCCCGTAAGGACTGCAAGTATCCCTCCTCCTTCAGGGATAATGGCCAGCAGGCCTCTGTCTTCCGCTAACGCGTTCTGGATGTCCCCTGGTACCTTGTTTCAAAGTGCGCCCGCGGCATCTGCATCCTCTGGGAACGTGTTAGAAACGCACCACCTCAGATCTGCTGAATCAGTATCTGCATTTTAACAAGATCTCCAGGTGATTCCTACATGGGCACCTTAAATATTAAAAGGCACTGGATTCTAGTGCGTGGTCTTGCCTCTTCAGACCCTCTATGCGGCAAGAGCCAGAGTCGCCCCGGCCATCTGAGATGTTGCCTAGTCCTGTCGGCAACCTCAATGCATACCCAAACAAGCTTTACTCCGTATTTAAGGAGACAACCGAAAGTTGTCAGCTTTCCCATCCCTGCAACCTAGGAAAAATAAGTTGACTCAACATTGTAAATAATCCACCTCCCGGCGTTAAGTTGGTATCTTACCAAACAGCAGAGACATACTAAAACTCCCCTCTCTTCCCTCACCTAACCCGAACAGTACTCTGGATACAGTACTACAGTGTTTGGAGTCGTGTAGCGCTAAATCTTGGTGCCTGTATGCCACAGGAGGAGATAATGTGTGGATGGAAGAATATTACTTGATGCATAAAATCCGAACTTATAGGATGGCATTGAAAGCCCTTCACAAACTTGTCTCTACTTACCTCTCCAGTCTTAGCTCAAATGAACTTGGTTCGTTTACCCTTCCTAGGATGCCCTTCGTCTTCCTCTCTGATGATCTTTATCCAAACTTGGGAGTCAGTTCAAATCCTACCAGCCCAGAGTACTCTCCCACCACCGTACTTATATCACACACATGAAGCTTATTTTGGACCCATATGTTACCTTGTATTGCTAGGTATTTTTAAACATGTTGTGTTCCGATTTATGAATCAATTACAAACACCTTAGGGCCTTAAAGACCTACATCAGTGATTATCATAGTCCTCACACCAGCAGCATCAACATTACCTGGGAACTAGTGAGAGATCCACATTCTCCAGCTCCATCCCAGATCTACTGTATTAGAAATGTCAGGGGTGAAGCCCAGCAATCAGTGTTTTAACAAGCCTTCCAGGTGATTCTAATGCACACTCAAGTTTTAGAGCTACTGACCTGAAATATTGTCTTTTACCCCCAATGGAATTCAATGATTGGGATTGATTTGACTATATGCAAGTTTTATTGCCTTTCAGATTAAGAAATCAGCTCCTCCATTTATGCATAACTAGGTTGGGAGGCTGTGACAATTGCTTTTGAAAGAATTGTCTTTGGTTTTCATAATGCATTTTATGTAGTAGGATCTTTGTAACTTGGTTTGTTTGAAAAGAAAGAAAGAAAGGGGCCCCTGCTTCCGACTCTTGGTTTTGGCTCAGGTCATGATCTCGAGGTTGTGGGATTGAGCCCCATGTCCGGCTCTGTGCTCAGTGCAGAGTCTGCTTCAAATTCTCTCGCCCTCTCCTTCTCATTCACTCTCTCTCAAATAAATAAATAAAATCTTAGAAAGAGAGAAAGAGAAAGGGAAGAGAAGAGAAGAAGGAAAGAAAGAATACAGGGGTGCCTGGGTGGCTCAGTCCTTTAAGTGTCAGACTCTTGATTTCTGCTCGGGTCATGATCTCGAGGTTGTGGGATGGAGCCCCATGTCTGGCTCAGTGCAGAGTATGCTTGAGATTCTTTCTCTCCCTCTGCCCTTCTCCCCACTCACATTTTCTCTCTCTCTCAAATAAATAAACTGAAGGAGGGAGGGAGGAAAGGCAGGGAGGAAAAGGAAAGGAAGGAAGGGAGGAAGGAAATATAACTCGTCACTTTGGGCATAGGAGAAGCGTGGAGTTTTGCTTCCAAAATTTGAGTACCTGAATTGCATATTATTTTGCTCTCTTTTAGTATACTATTGTGAGAAGGAATAATTTTTTGGCAAATGATTTCAACAAGTACCAAAATGAGAATTAGTTGAGTGGCACGTGAATGCTGTGACAATTGGAAGTATATGTATTTTTCATGCACTTTGTCATGCGTTAACCTGTCTCTTATCAGCCAAGCCCATTTCACAGAGAATGTTCTAAATAAGACGTGGAAGGAGAGAAGTGGAAGGAAAACCATTCTCAAAATCATGATCTTTCTAGCATGGGCACTTAAGTCTAATCAAGGGCCTATCTGTCCCTTACACTGTCAAGTCATAAGCATGACTGTATTATGTTGCAACCCATATACTTGACTCCTGTTTCATAATGAAAGGGTAAGGGAGATATGGCATCATGTAATCTTTTTTGAGACGCTTTTCTATTCACTGTAAGGATGGAGAGAAGATATATCTGCTATATTCTCCCTCCAGAATTCTAGTCTACTTCATCCTTCCTGTGACTAGCTGAAAGATGATTATTAATCAAACTAATATTTATCTGGGAATTGAAAAAGTAGGCAAGAACCAGCAGCATTGCTGCAACTGCCAACTTCACTTCTCCACAAAGGCACAGTCAGGGCATTTATGTGGATAAACTCAGCCAACTAATGTGCTTCTGTGCCGTGACTGGGGAGGACTGGATTTGACTGCAATTTCCAAAAGTCAGTGCAAGTGCAGTCCAGAGTTTAATCAACACTGGCTAATAGCCCTTGGCAGCTTTGGGTGGATGGCGTTCTCCACCTGCCCAGCTGGGTACCATGCCCTAAGCACCCACATTTGATGCACATTCATGATTTCTTGGTTGCTTATAGTCATCTCCCCCATCTGTTTGAGTGGCAGAGTGCCCATTCCAGAACAGTCTAATATTCTAAGAGTTGTTCTTAACCTCTTTTGGGTTACACATCTCTTTGAGCATCCAATGAAAGTTAGGGACCCTCTTTCCCAACAAAGTGCGTGTGTATACACACAATTATATAAACATGTACATATATATTTATGAATAAAATTTCAGAAGCTGCCCCACCTTCCCATGCCTCCAGAGGACCACAATGAAGTCACGAACATCAGGTTAAGAATCTGCTTTAGGATATGGAGAGTAGGTAAAATAAACTTTTTTTCAGATATTAAAGATAACTCTAAAAATCACTGCATGCTTAGGAGATAGAACAAAAGCAATGCTAAGCAGAGTCACATTTGGGAGTGCTAAAGAAACACCTAGCCGTGTCAACAGAGTGGTTCAGGAGTGGCTTCATGGAGAAAGGTTCTTGCATCAGGCAAATAAGAACAGGACTTTGGGACAAAGGATCCCTCCAGCATAGGGGAAAGGGTATGCAAAGGCATGGAGACATGAAGGTACGGCAGTCCATCCAGTGTGGCTCAAAAGTAAAATACATGGAAAGATAGAGAAGAGAATCAAAAGGTAGAATAGAGTCAAATCATGGTGAGCCTCAGATTCACCGCTATTTCCAATGAGGAGCCAATATAAGCTTCTGGAGTAAGGTAACCTAGAAAGACTTTATTAGTGAGTGCCATGGCATCATCAAAATGCAGAGCAGTAGAACATTTTAAAAAGTTCTCCATAGGGGCACCTGGGTGGCTCAGTTGGTTGAGCGTCTGCTTTCAGCTTTGGTCATGATTCTGGGGTCCTGGGATCAAGTCCTGCTCAGCAGGAAGCCTGCTTCTCCCTCTCCTTCTCCTTCTGCCCCTCCCCCTGTTTGTGCTCTCTCTCTCCCTCTCTCTCAAATGGGTAAAATCTTTAAAAAAAAAAAAATTCTCCATATCCTAAATTGAAACCTATGAGTAAAGCCACATGGCTTCATCTCAACTTTTTAGGGTTGCTTGATTCTTGCTCTAGAGGTTTCTATTAAGCTAAATCAAGATGAACTCAAAATCCTTACAGTTCGTTAAGTGCCGGTGAGAAAACATATCCTGGTGAATGTTCAGGTGAATTTAGAATCCAGGACACTGAAAGAGTTAAAATTTATTTGGAATTGAAAGCATGAAAATCAACTGGGACCGAAAAGAGAAAAGAAGCCCCATCACTAATCAGGCTGGGAGGAGAGACACAGGTCAAGCCAGCTGCCAAGTTAATAGCAAACACTGTTTCTGCCAAGGTCACGCGGCAGATATAAATTACTATAATGACCCCCTCTTTGGGTGATTACTGACCAGTGATGCCTCAGACCACTTGCTATTTTCATTTATTACTGGGGATACCCAAATGCTCGGCCAACTTCACCTCACGACAGCACCCAATTCCTAATTAGTTCCCTCTTTTTCTAATCCCACCTCAATATAACAATCGATCCAAAACTGATCCCTGCTCCCCTTCGACCATCTTCAAAATCCTTCAGTGAAAGCCCAATTGATATTGGGCTCACCCCTCCTACTTGTCTAGTGGTACTTCTCTGAAGAGCCCTCCCTCCTTGAAGGGCAAGAAATCTGATTTTTGTCCGGTTACAGGCTTGTCCCTGGCAGTCTTTGGCTGATTAAGTTTTAGCAAACCCATTTGATAATGAAAGCCACCCATCGTCAGAATTCAAAAGTCAGGGCTCTTCAGGAAAAGGGTCTCCTTTTCTCCGTCCGAAGGTAGCTGCCATTCTCAGCAATGAGACTCAGCGGTTTCACACATGGGTTCTTCCAACACAGGAGGAAGTGATGCTCTGGGTAGGTCACTCCGATCCCTCATCTTTTGGAGAAATGTGGATTGAGGTAGAAAGTGGAAGGAAAATGGGCTTTTATTTTTATTTTTTTTTTTTGAAAATGTGCTTTAAAAAAAAAGAAAATGTGCTTTTAAGAACAATTTTTACAAGTAGTGTTTTTAGAAAATAGCTTAAGTAAATGGGATTAACAGAGATCCAAGACAGAAGTAAAACGGGTCTAGAAAGATGATAAGTTCTACCCCGGTTCAATGTAAAGGACATATTAAAAACAGGGTCATTTTGATGATGCTGAGACCTCATTGCATGAAGAGAAGAGATTGAGATTTTCATTGAGAGATTTTATTATAAAAACAATAGCCAAAGAGATGGTGAGGATGGGGGGGCGGGGGGCTGGTTTGTCTCTAAGACATAAAAATAGAGATGAGGAAGGGGCATCTGGGTGGCTCAGCTGATTAAGCATCTGACTCTTGGTTTCGGCTCAGGTCGTGATCTTGAGGTGGTGAGATGGAGCCTGGTGTGGGGCTCCATGTTCAGCAGGGATTCTGCTCAGGATTCTCTCTCTCCGACCCCCACCCGCGCCTCCCTTCACTTGCACTCCCTCTCTCTCTCTCTCTCTCGAATAACTAAA